TTTTGCAATCAATTAGAATCCATCTCAGTCTAGGTCATGAAGCAAACAGCATTTTAAACTTTAATCTGTAACTGGAGATAATATTGTCAACTTTGACCTTGTATAAGTCTATGGGTGAGCAGAGTGAAGCTTAGTTCACACTGGGCGTGATTCGCTGGCGAAAGCGAAAAATAGAGCGAATAACCGGTGAAACATGACTCGTTTGACGGGTTATTCGCTCTGTTTTTCACTTTCACCAGTGAATCACGTCCAGTGTGAACTAAGCTTGAGATGTCTGGCCCACACTGGCAAATCTAGTGTACTCAATACTGTGTAAGAAAATTTTTTTGTATATTCAGAAATGTCAGGCTAAAATATTATTCATTACAGTATAAAGTAAAATATTTCATACACATTTTAACATTTTTCTGTTAACTGAAAATGGTTGCATAAATGTCTAGGCAATCAACTGGAACTATTTGGGGCGAAGTGTGAATATACATGAAATTTCATTCTATACATACGTGATGACATGCAATCCCTACATAAAACAAGACCTTACTGTATATATAAAATACATATAATTTTGCATGTTTTATTAGTATGAACTACTAATGAATAAAACAAAGTTAACATAACATTTAAAAATAAAATGCTTTAAATAAATTATTTTTTTCACAATTTTTAAAATTATTTAAGCATCTTTCTGGTTTAGTACAGAAGAATATATGCCATCTAAACCTCTGATTTAATATAAGAATTTGAAAATAGTCACTTAAATAGCCAAAAATAATCAAAATTAATAGTGAAACATACTATAACTCCTTGATGATAAATAAGACAATATGTTGCTATTATTTACTTTACATTATTTTCAAAGCTGAAGCACTTCATTTCTAGATGCATCAAAGTATATGAAGAAACATTGTAATAATATTAATGTAATATAAATAAGACTTACTTATTGTAAGGTCAGTAACTGTTATCGGGTATAACCTCACAGGCTTCAAACATAACACTTATTATTATGTTAAAGTTTAATGATGATGTTGTTGCTAACATTTCTTATTTCAATAATGTCAAGACTGTTAAAGATAGCATCAAAATAAAACCACCAAAAAGTTACTATTAATTAATTATAATTAACCTCTAGGTAACGTAGGGGATTTACCCAAGATTTCATGATTCAGGTATCTCAAGACAGGCAAATATATGCTTGTAAACATTCAGTGAATATTAGCTAGGATCCTAAAACCTTGTACAGTATCAAGAACAAATGGACCTCAACTTTTAGAAATAATGCATTCATAAAAATCTGTATGAAAGTCAAATATCCAAATATTAAGCAATAGAGTTGCATGTTATAAAGGGAATTTTGTTCCCAAAGAACTTAAAACTATAACATTTCTTAAGATAGAAAAGTTTTGTATGTAATTTGGGCCACAATTTGAAAAAATTGTAGATCTATAAATTCCCACTGTCATTCGTATGTCTGTCTGTCCTTCCTTAATCTCAAGAACAGAGTTAGATGAAAGATGAGACCAGATATGGAAACCTGAGGGACAGGAGGCCCTAATTAACTACACATGAACTTCCAATAAAAACCAGAAGTCACATTATTTCAATTAAAAAATTTTCCTCTGAAAGGTGTTAGGTAGATGACCAGCACGACTTTATTGTTAAAGGAAAAGTATGATGTATAGAGGCAAGACACTTCTAATTTGAGATGGAGAGCATATATTTTAAATTAAATAAATCAAAAATTGTAGCCTGACATTATGACAAAGTCACAATAAATAATTGCTCATATAAATAAGACTTATTAAAGTTTTAATCAAGTTTTTAAATAGAATCTCTATTAAAAACATGACGAAGGCTTATCAATCGAGCCGAAAACGTCAGTTTAATTAAAATTAATTACTGGAAAAGTGTGTAAGATGTGTTCAGTATACAGTTTATACAAAGATGATTTTTGAAAAGAATAAAATTTTTGAGAATATTTAATAGAGCAAAATTTTTATGTTGCTATTTTAAAACCTTTCTACAAAGTTAATGAAACCTTTACTCCTATTTACTTATTTCAATAATTAAACCTGCAGCATTAAAAGATAAAAGTTTATAAAAATAGACAGGGGAAAACAGTCGTTAACAAGCAATTTGACAAATTACTCTTATATTTAAAATAGCAAACAGAAAAAAAAAAATTAAAACAGCATCAATTTTATACAGTTTAGTGAGTTGGTTAAGAACCACCCAATTACTTTAATCACTAATGAAATGACTATTTTTACATAGAAAATGAAGCAAACAATAAAGGACGATTCATTAATAAATGACATTACAATGGCAATTATTAATTATTGATATCTCCATACACATCAACATTAATATAAATTACCATTATGGGGGGGGAAAGCATTTTTTACTCCAGCAAATCAGCCAAGCATAGCATTTAAAAAGTAACATATAACAATACTTCTGTTTGACTTTCTAATTGTCAAGGTCATTATCTACAATACTCAATGTACCACAGTTAAACAATGATCCATTCAATATGAACGTACTTGATAGCTGTTTGTTTTTATGACATGTTTTCATTGATTTCAATCAACTTTTTTTTCTTTTTTTATAGTTTCTTTATCTTTGGGGAAAGTGCTGATTCTGTTCAGTTTACTTCATTTACAAAACTTTTTAGCACTTAAATTAAAAATAAAAGCTAATTAAATGCTGCAATTTTCCTCCATTTTGTTGCAAATTACTCAAAAAACTAAAAAAATTCTTATAAGTTCTATATATATATATGTGTACAAGCACACCATTCATTTCACTTCATCTATCAAACTGTTCAACATTTATTTAATAGCAGCATTTAATTGAATTTATTTAGAACAAAAACCAATTAAATGCCACCTTCAATTTTTCTGCAAATTACTAAAAACAAAATATAATAATCAACCCATACAAGTTATACATATTTAAGCAATTTGCTTCATGTAGTACTTATTTAACAGCATTTAATTAACTTTTCTTACAAAAAAAAAAAATTTAATTAATTAAACGCCCAATTTTCCAGCAAGTTACCGAAAGCAACAAGGTTACGCACACGTGCAAGTGTGTGTTATTCAATTTGCTTCATTGATAGCTAGTTACTGGTTAAGCAAATTCAATTAAAAAGGCCGCAATTTCGCAGGATTCTATTGTAAAATTACAAAAATAATTAATTAAATGCCCGATTTTCCAGCAAGTTACTCAAATCGGCGAAGTTACGCACACGCAAGCGAGTTATTCCATTCGCTTCGTTATTAAAAGATACCGGTTAAGTAAATTCAATTTAAAAAAAGGCCACAAATTCGGCAGGATCCTATTGCAAAATCTTTCAAAAAAAATTAGCCCATAAAAGCTTATGCACATAAGCAAACGTCATTAAAGCACGATCACCTCCGTAACCACGACAACTGATCAAGGCCATACATAAACATTTACGAGGGACGACATAGCAAATTAAGTTAACCTACGCGTTTAAAAACACTCTCATTATCTTTAAAAAAAGAGAGAGAGAGAAGGAGAATGAGAGGGGTAAAAAGAACAAGTTGTTGGGTAATTTAAAACATGCCAGGAAAGCCAAACGAGTAACAAAACAGGTTGTGACTTTCTCTTTCGCAACGCACTTGTGGGTTATTAACACGTTTGTCTGTGTGTTTGATTGCGATAAAACGAAAACAGCGATTTTCCTAAAGGTCAAGGACGTATCATAAGCGACAACAGTCGCTAAGAATTATCCTATTTATACGACTAAACTCTTCAATCGAACGACAGGTCACTGATCTCAATGGCGGCTGACGCATAAAGGGGAATGTGTCGCAGTGACGTCGACGCGTGCGCTATATCCAATTAAAACATTGGTGAACGTTCAGAAATGAAACACTAAAAATGATCGATGATACAACGCTAGGGAGTGGTCGATGATGCTTCAAGGTCGTAGCGTTTTCTTTTTTTTACTTTTTTTTTAATCCTTTAAAAAGCTCGCTTTTAAAAAGGAACCCTAATAATAATAATAATAATAATAATAATTTCGTGAATAAAAATATACGTAATTTTTTTATTGATGACGAAATTAATTATAATTAACTGGCATCACTTAAAAAATATATTTTTTTTTTCGATGGTTTAAATGTTGCCAGCTCAACTTTGCTTTAAATTAATTTGAAAATTTCGTGTATTATTTATTACTTTTTAATTTAAAAAAAACAGGATAAATTCATAAATATATTTATATTTATTTATTTATTTTAAATTTACGATAGGTTTCGCGTCACTAATTTCAATTTTTGCGTGACTATAAATATCGGAATTAACTTTCGAAAGTTAAATCGATTCGCGCCATTCGATCTTTCGATCTAATTCCGTTCGTGACGATCTAACACTGACCTCGATGACTTATTCTGCTTTAAAAACCAAACGGCAAACAGATGTATTCTAAAACATATATTGTAGGGTGTATGTGTATTTAAAAAAAAATGATGCACGTGATAGGCCATTAAGTAACTGTTGGTGTAATTACAAAGATAATTGTTCCCGGTAACGTTTATGTATTCCTCAAATGATTTACATAATATGCGGCGAACAATACGACAAGTTTTCTGTTGATAAAACGAGAATAAAGTACGTGGATCCGGCAGAAATTAGAAACCTACTGACCTATATTCTACCAATCGATATCCGAGGATGTGTGGAGATTGATGACACTGTTGGCTGCAGGACGAGAAAGGGAGATTCGAGAGGATGTGAGAAATAATTGATCGGAATATCGAGAATACAGAGATGATAAAAAGTTGCATAAACCATTAAAAAATTATTTTTAAAAAATAATAAATGCAATTGTCTGGTGCATCGACGCTTACCCCGATTCTAACTCCCCTGCCCCATTTTTTTACGCGTAAGAAACACTTTTCGAACACATTAATGAGTAGAGTAGTATGTAAACTGTAAGGTAAATGAAAAGAAAATACGCGTGACCTTACCTGGTACACATGGAGATTGAAACCAGGATGAAGACACTTGCGATTGTGACCCATATAACAGTGCAGTGACAGATAGTTTGGGTCTCTCCTTTTTGTACATGGTTTTCTTGTCCGCTAAATGGACATCATAAGGTCGAGAAATGGATACCGATTTATCGACATCTTTAATTTTAAGATCCACATATAGACACACACACACACAATCGATGCCACGGACACGTGCTACACGTGATATATGGCACCAACGCGGTCGATAACAAGAAACCCCCCCAGCAAACGATGACGATGGAAGTGTGCTTGCTGTCCGTTTGCTTCGATGACAAAACTGAATGTACGAATGACGGCGAGAAACGAAAATGGGGACAGGCGAGAGCGCTCAAGGCCAAGGTCTGGATGGATGCCAGCATGAATAGAAAAACGGTAGGGAACACACATACAACGTATGTGATGGGAGATGGGATTGGCCTTCGTGGCACTGCGGCCGGCGCACGCATACACAACTGTTCAGTAGTGGTATATCAGAGGTAGAATGACTAGTATATTACATACGAGTAAAGAAATGCACAGGTACGTTAAACAAACACAGGAAATTCACATTCGATTCGTATTATTAAAACAAATAACCGATTGAAACGAGGTATTCCCATGTAGAGAGAGATGGTGTTAGAGCAACCAGTCTCTCCTCATCGAAGGAAAGGAAACACATCACCAAGTTTAGGTGCATTAAATAAATATAAATTTTTAAAAAAATTACTAGAAATATAAAGAGAAAACAAACCACGCGAGTGTCAAAAAGTTTCCAGGTTTTTAAAGTTTTATTTTGTCTTTACGTATATATTAATAGCTTATTGTTATATTTTAATTAGTAAAATAAATTAAATTTATCTGTAGATAAAGTTGAATGGAACAAGAATATTTGTAAATAAATCTTGAAAGTTTACGTATGTTATCGATATTATCCTTAATAATTACAAATCCCCTGACAAATTTTAATTCCATAGTGGAGGACATACTATGGGCTTTCATCATACATCCTCCGGGATCAGAGGATCTCCGTGTTTTCATGGCCTCTCGTAGATGTTTAACAGGAAAATGTTTTTAAAAAAAAATCACTTGATAACTCAAAGGAAATCCGAATATTAAAAGTATTAATTTTTTAAGCACTAAAGGAAATTTTCACGTAATTTATCCTCAGTATAGAATCCCTTCAATAAAACTAACGAAGAGCAAAAGGAAATATTTCAAAGTTAAAATAATACTGTATATATTCCGAAACACGAAATAAATGAGTGCAGAGTACATTTTTATGTTTGGTTAATTTAACTTCCAAACACTTTGTGCCTCGATTCGCATTACGAAAACAGGTGAAACATGGAGTAATAGCATAACAAAATATATGTATTTTATTAAAAATATAGTATGCAAATTAATAAAATAACGAAAAAAAAAATATTATGTAAGATTAGCCCAAAGTCAGTTAACCGAATTTTTTTTGTAAGCAATTCAGAAATCTGTGAAAGCGTTGTAATTTACATGTTCAACGCGATGGTTCTTTTTTTTTGCAAAATTTTGAGTATTTGAGTCAGAATTGCTAAATTAGGAACATCTTTACGATGCTTAACTGACTTTCCAGCTACCCTGGATATTTAAATGCGAATCTTAAAACATGCCATTGTGTCTAGTGAATGGAAAAATGCATTCGTGACGTGTTTCGTAACACACAAAATTAAACTTATTAATGATCGTAATCTTATTTTTAGAAAGGAAACAATTTACGAATCGCGGATATGAATAGCCTCAACCAATAATTCACAAATATCCTGATAAATTTTCTTTACAAATCAGGAAACGGTTTAAACAACTTTCAACGAAGGAACCCTTCAGAAAAATTCTTACATAAATGCACATAAAAATGGGTCAAAAAAAAAATTCTAGTAGTAAACTTAAGATTTTTTTTGTACATGACATGGTAAGAAATTCTAGAACAATTAAGATAACCTTGAATGGAATATAAGATGATGTGAGCTCTTTGTAAGAAAAGTAAGAAAAGTTTAACTTTTCCCTTCAGCAGGGGCAATCTTGACTGGAAGTATTTAACTAGCTGCCCTTGAACGGCAGTTACACCTGCAAGGCCTTGGAAAACAAACCGCCCACGTGCTCTTAAAACAAGCTAAGAATTGGGTGGACACGTTGAAGACAATTACCGACTTATCACCAAATTAAAAATGTATAAATAAAATAAATAAAAAAAAGGAAGCAAGTACAGTTAGAAAGTAGAAGTTTATTCAAGCGATAATTAATCAACAACGTTCCCTACAAAGACCAACAAGTACAGGTGCACGGAGGAAAAACTATTTTTAGACTTCCTTACTTGTAAAATAAATAAATAAATAAAAACAATGTGTTCAATGTTATATATATAATTATTTTTTTTATTAGATTATTAACTAAGCTAGAATATGTAAATAAACTTTACCGGGTGCAAAGGTTATCTCTACATTTATTTGCCATTTTATAACAAAGTAAAAACCTACAGATCTCGATTTAAAAAAAAAAAAACTGATAATAGTATTAGCCACAGAATTTATTTAGTGAATTTTTCTGTCATGTAGCGTATACAAGAAAAGCATATTATGTACTGTATAGTACTGTACATTACATTAATATATATATATATATATAGCACACAGGATCCTAATTACAAGAAATCCGATAATTATCGCGACCTGTATAAATGTTTTACCACTTTGATCTATATCTAATTTAAATATTAATTTTTTGAATAATTACTTGGCACGTAACTGAGTTAAAGTATGATAATTTTTTTTGGATGACCCAGATTTTATATTCACTATAAAATTTTTAATGATAACGTATAAAAGTTTTATTCACGAAAAAAAAAATATGTGTATGTACGTATATATATATATATCGTGTGTTGTACAGCTGATATATTTTATTGGATGATGTCCAGTAGAATAATAATTATAGTCTACGGTATACAAATCCATTTTTATGACCTATTTTTATTTATATTAAACTCTTATGCAAATAAGTTACGACAGTTCACGTATCCAGCTGTGTGTGTGTGTGTGTGTTTTTTTTAATTTAAAATTTATATCTAGAACTCCCATAGACAGGGTTTTAAACATTGCCAAAATACGAGAGGTCACCGAGTAGAAGGCCGTTTTACTATTTGCGTCATGTAAACATTGTTGTTTGGCGTATATTTTCTTTTCGGTTTTTCTATATGTATTGATGGTAAATGTGCGGTTAAAAACTCGAACACACACACACAACAAACCAGCCAGCAAGTCGCCGGTACCAACATCATCTTATATTTTGGCAAGAATCCAGAACATGTATGCAAAGCAAGTTTTCTCCATCATTGAGTCGTTCAATGTCAAGATGGTGGTTGTTCAGGTCGACAGCTCGTTCACATCTTTTTACACACGTGATTCTATGGTATTAATACTTATTAATTTCTAAATTAAGACTCTGTTCTAACGATTTTGTATAACGTGCAAAGGAGTTCGCTTGGTGATAGATGGCTCAGGAATTCGATAATAGATGAGTGACTCCTGAGCCGAATTTAATACGCACTAGCTGGGATTCAATTGTTAGAAACAAACAGTTGATTTTGTAATAGCGTACCTATTTTCTTTTTTTTTGGCACCAAGCCGGAAATGTATAGGTAACTACAATATATAGAATCCCATATCAAAAACCTGTTTCCCGCACTTATTTACCTTTTATGCGATTGTATCTTACTACTGCTCCGATATATCATTGATTAAAATGGATAATCGAATATAAAACACGGCATCGGACTATAAAATTCTCAAAATTTATCAAATTCGTAGCGTTTTTTTTTAAACAGAAACGAATGCGGAATCACAAATAAAATGATTGCTTTGTATACCAGCTGGCGACTGGTATACTATACAACAATTATATAACAACACATTTCATTATCAATAATACGATTATGGAAAGGGTGCAGCCTATTAAATAACCAAATGACATTTTAGCATTAAAAATAGGTCATGGTGCCAAGGGCCTTTCCAGCTGCACTGCGTTGTCGGCCATACAAAAATAGAACAAATCACATGACAAAATGAAGAGAGGCGCAATGACCTTGACTCTAGAAAACCTTTTCAATCTACCTCTACCTCTCATGATTACTTGATTATATATATAAATCAATGGGTGACTGACAGGATAAGTTATTATATAAATAATTAAATATATATATATACACTATATATACATACACACACACTGTGCACATTCAAAATATTCAGTACAGTGTAAGAAAAGCTCCAATGCCATTTAAATTTGGAATGGTGGCAAAAATATCTTTAAAATACCAAGTAATTTCTAAAATATTTTTGATACTAAAAATGTAAATATCAAACTGAAAATAATTTGACTCGGTTATGGCTTTTATATAGAGAATTTATGATACAACAAAAATGTTAAAAGCCATCAGACAACCTTGAAAATTATCAGGGTTTAAAATGTTAAAGTATATAAGTAAATCAGAAAAATTAAATACATAATATTCAATAATTAATCTAATATTGATAATATTTAAGTATATATAAAATAAAATAAAACTTTGTATTAACAATAAATACAGATATGATTAGTTTTTTAAAAGTTTATTATTCATCTATTCTCTTTTTTTTTTTTTTTAACACTGAAACTATACTGTATCAAAATTTTAAAATACATTTCTCTAATTGGCTCTCGTACAAAAATACAAGATAGAAATTACGGTTGGTTTATTCTCTCGCACCTAATTACACTCCAGGAAATTTATGCAATAAATTACATGCAGATCTCATTAGAAAGCGCTATTGCATAAATATTTATACAGTTGAAAATATATTATTTCTGCATAAACAAAGAACTTTAATAAGCGAAACAACAGAAATATGAAAGTTAGAAACGGGATAACATATTAAAATTAATCATAAGGTCCATTAGGATTGTTTTAAACTTTAGTTTGCCGCCTAATATAAATTTTTATTCATTGCTGAGCGATTTAAAGTGTAATTGTAAACTANGTTATTGTTTTTTTTTTATTGCTTCTATGTGACATGTTTTTGGGGTAGAAATAACTTAAAACTTGATTTGTATTGTGTTTTCGTGCTTTATTTAGGAATTTTATACTTTAAATTTCTCTTTGTAGGTGTTTTCTATTAACTTAAATCAATATAAATATATCAGTTAAACTGTTTACTTTATAATACTTCATAAAACTTTGTAGTATAATTAACACCTTCTTTACTGTTCATAAATAAAAGATCCAAAATTGGACAAGATTATAAGTATCATTCCCGTATAAGTAATATACCGAAAGGTACCACGTGTCTGCCGCGGCGACCGATGGTTCTTTCCGTTCCGTCATTTCTATAACCGTACTATAAAATAGTATGTAATTGAATGTTTTCATGTAAGTACTGAGGTCTGCAAGGAAACAGTTGCAGCCAGTTAATGTTAGATTGACTACCGGGGCCAACCGGTGGGCGGCGTAACTGCACAAGGCCCCTGCATGATCCAACTCTTGTGAAATTTAAAATTATATCGTTTTTCACTAAGTTAATTAACCTTCGCCAATCTATGTAACGGATGGTATGTTTACTGTTAAAATATTATTTTATAGTTCGAAACTGCTATTTTTTTTTTATTAAAAGGCCCATCGCGACAACTTTGAACCGGGCCCTGCTATTTCTCGGGCCTGCCCTGTCGATCACCTAAAACTTTTTCCGGGAAGAACATTATATCGTGCGTAGATCGTCGAGGTTCCTGCTACAGGATAATTGGAAAAACTTTTTTAAAAAAACATAAGCAATGTGGGTGTGTCTAGCCAAAATAGAAGGAACGTGAGTAAAATTTTACAATAGTGTATCTTAGAGACTCCAGAATACATGATTTCTTTTGCATTTTTTATTTTTTCACATAGGATAAAAATTAAATTAGCCACTTTAGTTAATATAATGAAGTAAGCAATATACTTTAACAGTGTGTAAAGTGTATTGCTTTATTTCATTTAAGGATAGTCTACAATTCTGATAATGTCGGTGATGTGTGACAGTGATATCTTCCCAGGATTGATTCATTAGTGAACACAAAGTATAGTACAAGCATATATATATATATATATATAAGGAATGACGTAAACATAACTTTATTATACTTTATATATATATATAAGATTATACCGTTTAAGATCCGAACGGTTACTGTATATTATACCGAACATATCGTCTTAAACAGCAATACGTTCGGTATAATATACGGTATAACAGTTCGGATCTTAAACCGTTTAAGATCCTAGCAATAGGCCAGGTGGCGGCCGAAGTTTTCGTCTCTAAAATGCGAACGTCGAACGTCAAGATGTTCGACGTCTGCATTTTAGGGTGAGACTATGCAGACGCGAGCGAGCGAATTTTCCGAGCGAGCTCGCGAAGAGGCGAGACGCTTAATAAATAAATAATAATAATAATAAATATTTAAGCAATATATATATAATTATAATGCCTACATATTCGTATATTTAAGATGGATAAAGTATAAAACGTATGGGAAAGGCGTAAACATTAGTTATAATAGGTAAAAGAGGAGAGAGAATGTCGAATGGGACATTGGACGATCGGTCAGTGAACCGACGATCGTGTAAGACAGAATTATAAGATATAAATCACGAAAACTAGAGCTTTATTTCTTCTTACTTCCATCCTGCGATGCCATAGTCTTCTCCTGCATCCGGAAGCAGCTTCGTATCCTCGATTTATTTCGAAGATATTAATTTCCTTCGGACGAGATTCTTCCACTCTCACCTTGATCCTTTCTTTGGCATCGGAGGGGATCGACATCACCAGGAATGATGGGTAAAGCGTATGTCGCCATCTGGCGTACGTTTTTGTAAGTAGAGATTTAAAATAGTCACGTTTTTTTTCTTTTTCTACGAAGGTAATGTAGTACAAAAAATCCTTTCGTTTTATTAAAATATAAATATGTAATTCTAAATTATATCATGTAATGTTGTATATATTTATATATAATTGATCTTTTCGTATTTGGTTGTTATTGTTTTTTTTTTTATTGCTTCTATGTGACATGTTTTTGGGGTAGAAATAACTTAAAACTTGATTTGTATTGTGTTTTCGTGCTTTATTTAGGAATTTTATACTTTAAATTTCTCTTTGTAGGTGTTTTCTATTAACTTAAATCAATATAAATATATCAGTTAAACTGTTTATTTTATAATACTTCATAAAACTTTGTAGTATAATTAACACCTTCTTTACTGTTCATAAATAAAAGATCCAAAATTGGACAAGATTATAAGTATCATTCCCGTATAAGTAATATACCGAAAGGTACCACGTGTCCGCCGCGGCGACCGATGGTTCTTTCCGTTCCGTCATTTCTATAACCGTACTATAAAATAGTATGTAATTGAATGTTTTCATGTAAGTACTGAGGTCTGCAAGGAAACAGTTGCAGCCAGTTAATGTTAGATTGACTACCGGGGCCAACCGGTGGGCGGCGTAACTGCACAAGGCCCCTGCATGATCCAACTCTTGTGAAATTTAAAATTATATCGTTTTTCACTAAGTTAATTAACCTTCGCCAATCTATGTAACGGATGGTATGTTTACTGTTAAAATATTATTTTATAGTTCGAAACTGCTATTTTTTTTTTATTAAAAGGCCCATCGCGACAACTTTGAACCGGGCCCTGCTATTTCTCGGGCCTGCCCTGTCGATCACCTAAAACTTTTTCCGGGAAGAACATTATATCGTGCGTAGATCGTCGAGGTTCCTGCTACAGGATAATTGGAAAAACTTTTTTAAAAAAACATAAGCAATGTGGGTGTGTCTAGCCAAAATAGAAGGAACGTGAGTAAAATTTTACAATAGTGTATCTTAGAGACTCCAGAATACATGATTTCTTTTGCATTTTTTATTTTTTCACATAGGATAAAAATTAAATTAGCCACTTTAGTTAATATAATGAAGTAAGCAATATACTTTAACAGTGTGTAAAGTGTATTGCTTTATTTCATTTAAGGATAGTCTACAATTCTGATAATGTCGGTGATGTGTGACAGTGATATCTTCCCAGGATTGATTCATTAGTGAACACAAAGTATAGTACAAGCATATATATATATATATATTAGAGATAAAATTTAAGATAAATATGATTAAAATGTGTTCAGTTTATAATTTAAAAAAAAGATATAACAGATATGTAGAAATAATTAAGAAACAAATTTTTTTTCCATTGTTAAAATTATTAGATGAAACAAATATTTTCAATTAATATTCTGGTCAACTTAATAATAAAATCCACACGATCAGGCTTGTATTTTTATGTATAGGATAATATACCACCTCATAAAACCTCTGGGTGCCCAGCAACAAATTTCATGGGTAAACAAATGTTTTCGGGCTCTTTCTGAGCTCTGATTCAGGTTTTCTGCTTTCTTTAAATGGAACATGAATCAAAGCTATCATTCAAATTCAAAACACTAAATGGTCAATGATATGCTGCAGCAAAAATGTGCGTCATTACATAATTCTGTGGATTACGTTGATTGGATGGCTTTCCATAGATAGTGTCGGTTTGTACATTGCTTGCCGAGCATATGAGATTTATTTTTCTTCTTCATAATTAATGCATGATCCTCCTGTCAGCTTTTGTTTACCCATGAAATTTGTCGCTGGGTACCAGAACATTTTATGAAGTGTGTTATACAGTGAGTCAAGTGTGAAAATGATTAAACTGTTGGATAGGATAATGATTATATTAATAAAAATATTTTATAAAATGCAAATTTCTGCCAAAATTAAATCTACAATATATATAAACTCTGTACATTCAGATAATTTGTTAATTATCTAACAAAGTAAATCATAAACTTAAAGTATAGACCTATTATTAAATCAGAATGACTGAAATATATAAACCTCATATGCATTTTTGGTTCTAATGGAAATCCAAGTGTATATCTTTTGCTAACATTTCAAATGTATTGACTTCCTAATTTACCATGATGCACATCATCTCTGCTTTTCGTCAATCTGAATTTAATATTTTTAAATATTCCATATAAATATTATAATAAAATCTTCAAATGATAAATTTTATTACATTAATGCTGTAATTACATAAAGATTAACAATTTTAAAAAAATTAATAATAATTAGGCTAAATTACTTAAATAACCCTTAATTTAGCCTAAAAATAATCCAGTGGTTTAAGCTTATAATGCTTTAAGAAATATGTCATATTTTGTGAATTTATTGCTTGATCTGAATATACAGTGCACTCTCATTAGTCTAAATCTGCACTAATCCAAGACAATTTTGTTTATTTTTCTGCTATTTATGTTTATTGTTCAGCCAAAAAGCAAAAATTACATCATAGCTTATTTTCACAAAACCATGACAAGTTTGTCAAGGATTTTTATATGTACCAAATACGGTATAAAAATTTTTTAATGTATGTAGAACTTTTCATGAATTTTGACCTGGCTGTTGTGATGCACAATAGCAAGGACAAATATATGTTAGTATGTGAAGGACATACAAGGAGGGACCCAAAAAAACCAAACTGAGAGTGCGCTGCCATTCGTAGATGTAGTAGAGAGTTCTCGCGTTACATGGGGTTAGTAGAGACCTTCGCGAAACAGCTGTGTAAACAGCGTCAGTTTGTAGGTTTACGTTTGAGCGTAGTGTTGTGTTTCTCTTACTGTTATTTTGTTCCGCCTGCGAAGTTCTGGGCATCCTTCAACATCTCGAAACGATGAAAACGTTGAAAAAATCTGCCAAAAAAGTGTTAAGACATCTGCGAAAGGATATGCGAAGGAAACGTCCGGAACTTTGGCGATCAGGTGACTGGTTCCTTCATCACGACAATGCCCCTGCACACAGGCCCGCCGTAAGCGGGTGTGCAAGGCGTGCACCGCACACGGGCGGCACGTCCAGGGGGGCGAGCGATCGGTCACGTAATAATTAGTCATTGTCATAATACCCACCCTACTTATAGCATAAGAAATGTCTTCGCATGGAGAAAAAAATCCGACTGGCGCGCAATTACTATATTCTTATTTATATTATAGCGTTAACAGCGCCTCTATTGGCATTTATCAGAATTAAGATGCAATGCGAAACGTCTGTCGGCATATGTCGAGGTTGAACCATCTGGCGGGCACCCGAAAGCCAAGTACCAATAGTCGTGCTGTATGATAGAAGTTGACAGGTTTGGCGAAAATAGGGAATCCCTACAGAGCTTCCTTCTCAATTTGTACTTGTACGCATTCGAACAGTTCTATTGCATATCAAATTGCAATTATTTTGTTAATAATTCTTCTGACATGGGTCGAAGTATAATTAATGATATTTTAACTTGGTTAGGATTTAAATCTGAAGCTTAAAGACGATTCAAGTAGTGAAACAGACATTGACAGTATTGATTTGTTTAATGAAATCAATACTTTAAAGTTGCATTTTCCAGAAAACCAGTCTAATGATCCACAAACCCCATTACAATATCTTTTTACTAATGACTTAATTTCAACAGTTCCAAACACAGCAATAGCACTAAAAATATTACTTACATTGCCGGTTTCAGTTGCATTTGGTGAAAGGTCCTTTTCAAAGTTAAAAATTATAAAAAACTATTTAAGATCAACAATGCACCAGCAAAGACTAAGTAATTTAGTTTATAGCTATATTTTCAATTGAACATGATATCTTAGACAGCTTGGATACAAGAAAATTGATAGCAGATTTCGCAAACATGAAGGCAAGAAGAGTTCAATTTCTGTAGATAAATATTTATATGGTTTTACACTTAAGTAAATAAAAATAACTTAGTAATAATAAATAGTTCTTTTTGTAAAGTATTTCTTTTCTTTTTTCACACCTTTATGAGACAACACTAAAGAGCCTTTCTGGCAAGCTCAGCGCAGGTAGTCGTAGTTAAACAGGGGCGGCATAATCGGTATTGCACACGGGCGTTCAAACAGCTAGCGGCGCCCCTGCCTGCACACACGGCTTTATGAGTGATTCACTATTTGGCCTCTCGGGATGGCCTGTCATTCCCCACTCTTTGTATTCACCAGACCTAGCCCATGCGACTTTTTTCTGTTTCCAAGATTGAAGAAAAATCTAAAAGGGAAGCATTTTGATGATGTGGAGGCAGTAAAAACAGCTTCGCTAAGGGCACTGGACGATATCAAGGTTGAAGAGTTCCAGAGATGCTTCAAACAGTGGGGAAAAAGACTTCACAAGTGCATCACATCTAATGGAGAGTACTTTGAAGGTGACTGAAGAAATTTTGTAAAAAAGTTAATAAATAAAGTTTTTATACAAAAAATCTGGTTTTTTTTTTTTGGTCCCCCCTTGTATGTTATGTGAATTTAAATTGCATCTCAGGTTACCAATGTATATTCTCTTTAAATACTCCAGAGTCTCATTCAGGTTATGCAGAGTCTGGCCAAGATTTGTGAAATAATCTATACTTAATTGTCTGTGGTTCTTTTTTGACATCCTTTTCTTTATGTATAACACTGCTAATCCAAACTTTTCAGTAATTCAAAACCTGTACAATAATAAAGAAAGAAAGCATTAAATAAAGGGTACAATTATACCTCTGAATGAGACTGTGGGATCTTTTCTGAGCTGTAGACCATGCCTATAGGAACAAAAACTTCACAGGAACCATACCTCTACATGTGACCCTTTGCAAGTTTTTTGGGATGAGTTTGGGAGAAAAAACACTCATTTGAGTAGATTTGGTTGTGCCAATGAGGCGTTTCAAATGTTATTCCTCAAGTCCATAGTAAATAAATGTTCAAAATTTAAATGTTTCTCATGATGTTGCAAAGTAGTAATAACAAGCATGGTTGGCTCATAATATCATCACGTTTACTCAACACAAGTGAGCTTGTTGTTTGTATTTGTTTGTTGTTTTAGAAATGCTATAATGCATTTCTAAAATGTTTCTAAAGTAAAGCATTCATATATAGCATTTCTAAAGTAAAAAAAAATTATCTCAATTTTTATTATGTAGTAAGTATATAAATTATTATACATGATTAAAACTATTTTTTCTTAACCAAAACAGTATATGAAAAAAAAAAAAAAAAAAACTCTATTAGAGCATTTGCAGGCTATGCATCCTCCTGCAACAGACTGTTAAAGAGTATAATCCTGCTTGTTTGGCAACCACATCTCATGATACAATGAAATACTTGAGACAGCACTGCACTGTTTAGCAGTACTGTTGCGAACAGTATGGCCAAATGGCAGAGTACTATGTGACCTGTAAACATTAATATGAAAAAGTCAAAAATTTTGTATCTTGAAATAATTTATTTTTATTAAATCAAAAGTACAGTAATACCCCGAACTTACGCGATAGGTGGGACCGAGCGGTAACCACGTAAGTTGAATTCGCGTAAGTCGGGGTATAATTTCGCATATAAATACATACAAATAATTTTTAATTGGGGCCGTAGACTAAAGAAAACAATAATTTAGAAAAAAAATGTTTAATAAAACCTTAGATAATACATATGTATAACAAATTAGGCCTATATTATTTTATAATTTTTCACATTTACTTGATTATTACGCCATAATTTTAACATTGTTTCCATCTCAGCGATAATACTGTGACGTTTACGAATGATGCTTGAATT